ATTTGATACCTTTAAATATCATTCTACCTTACAGTTGTTTTTTTGTTTTTTTTGTTTTGTTTTGTAGTGATTTATTTACAAAGATAGTATACATTGTTTTTCACACTGGATCTTTTCCATTTTCTTCAAACCCTCCCTCCATCAAATTGTGCAAACATATGATTACTGATACCTCCCCCCGGATCCTCAACCCTCTGCTTCCACCCTCCCCCCGTGGATCCTTATACTTATTCTAAAATAATGGTCTTATACGGTATTTGTCTTTATGGGACTGAGTTAGTTCACTCAGCATAATGGTCCCCAGTTAAGTAGTGATTTACAAAATCATTGCTTCTGCATGCTGTGTAGTGTTCCATCATGTGAATGTACCGCAGTTTCTCAATCCATTGGGTTGTGGTTGGATATTTGAGCTGTTTCCACATTCTTAACGATGGTGAATAATGCTGCTATGAACATTGTTGTACAAGTCTCAACCATTTGTGCCTCAGTTCTCATTCTCTTGGGGTATATTTCAAGTAGTGGCATAGCTGGGTCATATGGAAACTGTCTTCACCTTCTGAGGAAGCGTCAAACTGCTTTTCAGGGTGGTTGTACCATTGTACAATCCCACCAACAGTGTATAAGAGTTCCTATCTTGCGACATTCTTTTCAACATTTATTACTTACTGTCCTATTAAACTTTGCCACTCACCTTTTGTTTTCAGAAATGCTTTCCTTATTCAGGGTCTCTTTCCTCTCCAAATAAACTTGACAGTTTCTCTTTCAATCTTCTAGAAAAATTAATTTGTTATCTGTATTGGGATTTCATTGAATATATAGAATGCTTTTGATAGAATTGATATTTTCACAATATTGAGTCTTCCCATTCATGAATAGGGCACATTTTTCATTTCTTTAGGTCTTTTATTGTGTCTTGCAGAAATATTTTGTTGTTTTCTTTATATAGTTTTTTTGTATCTCTAGTTAGATTCGCTCCCAAGTATCTCAATTTTTGGTTGGCCATTGTAAATGGTATTGCTTTCTTGTATTCCTTCTCTGTGTTTCCTTTGTTGTTGTAGAGGAATCCCAATATTTGGATATTGATCTTATATCCTGCCACTCAACTAAATTGGTCTGCTTGCTCTAACAAGTTTGTGGTTGGTTGGAGGTTTTTGTGTGTGTGTGTTGTTTTTGAGCCCTTGGGGTTTTCTGTGTTCATTATCATATCATCTGCATATAGCGATAGTTTAACCATCACTTTGCTGATCTGGATGCCTTTTATTTTCTTCTTTTGTTGTATTGCCTTAGCAAGCACTTCCAGTACAATATTGAACGAAAGTGGTGATAGTTGACATCCTTATCTGGTCCCTGTTCACAGGAGAATGGTTTTAGTCTGTCTCCATTGAGAATTCTATTTGCTTTTGCTTTTCATATCTACTTTTCACTGTGTTTGTGAAATTCCCTTCTATTCCAATTTTCTGAATGTCTTTATTAAGAAGGAGTGTTGGATTTTATCACATGCATTTCTGCATCAGTTGCTAATATCTTTTTTAAAATTTACTTTATTATTTTGTGTTTGTACTGTCAGATTAGATCTGACTGGTACTGGAGATTGTCCCTCCTTCTCCAGCAGAGCATCTGGTGGATTTGAACCACGCACCTCTGGAATTGAGTTGCTAATATCTTACAGTTCACAGTTTTATTTTCTAAATTGAGCCTGTGAGCTTGTTTTGTTATATATTAATTATGAGTTCAGTATTATAAATTAAATATATAACAAGTTTAATAGCAAATAAATATATAACAAATACATAGCAACATCCAAACACATGCTCTTTAGTTCTGTATTTTTATATTTGATTCTACTTTAAACCTGTGTATCACTCTATCCATTTTGAGATGATCCAGAGGAAACCAAATCTAGAAAGGGCCTGCAAATAAAAGATAAAGCATATGTGAGCATTTAGAGATGTGAGCCTGGGCAGAGGGCGGAGTGTAGTCCGTGGGTGTTCCTTCTTCCTGGACCTATGCCCACCTCTGGTGTAGTTACCAATAGTTCTGTCTTCACTCTCAGAGCCACCTTTGTGGGAGAACCACTTTTTTGTCAGTGCAGGGTACTGATATTACTTATTAGGATAGTGACATAATTACATCTGGTGTTTAAGGCCCCACAGAACTTACACAGAAATCTCATTTGTACTAAGTACATTGAGTAAAATTAAGTTTGCAAATTATTTGCATTCAAATGGATTTATTCTAATGTTTTTATTCTGAACTTTATCTTAGATATTTCTTTCCCCTTTTTTTTCCTTGAAGGTAGCTTAATTGTTTCAGAAAGAAATCTAACAAGATGAGGAGAAAGTAAAATGAGGAAGTTGGAGAAAGAAAACACCGAGGAGGAAGTGTGTCCTTACTGTGTTTCATGAGAGCACCTGTGGATTTCCTTGTTAGGAATTTACTACTGATTCCTAAATGTCGCCACATGTAATATTTACACCTGCTCTCTGAGAAACAGTCAGCATTGCTTATTTGCATCTTCATAGAGTTGTTCCCTTCTTGAATTTTAATAGATGTCATCAAGAAAGATTTTGCATTTAGCAAATAACTGGGGATTTAAGTAGAAATCCCATATTCCACTCTTCAGGTTCTTTTTCAAAGTTAAACTTTTCTTTGATGATCTGAGATGGGAGAGAAACAGATGGACAGGAGTGGGAAAATTGTCTAATGGAGTCATTCAAATTCTCACATCTCTTTTCTTCAGGAACTTTGTCATTATTGTTGTTGTTATTGTTATGTGCCATCGAGTCGCTTAGGACTCATAGCGACCCTAGGTACAAGAGCCCTAAATGCCATTCTATCCTGTGCCAACCTCGCCGTCTCAAACACACTCATTCCCACCACTCCACTCACAGATTCAATCCATCTCATTGAGGGTCTTCCTCTCCTGCGCCGTCACTCCACTCTCCCAAACATGATATCCCTCTCCAAGACTAGTCCCTCCTTGGAACATGCCCAAAGTATGTCAGACAAAGCGTCAGAATCCTTGACTCCAAAGAGCACTCCGGCTTCACCCTTTCCAGGACAAACCTGTTTGTTCCCTTAGCATTCCATGGTATAGTCAACACTCTTCTCCAGCATCACAGCTCAAAGACATCAATTCTCTTTCTATCATCCCTATTCACTGTCCAACTCTCCGATGCATAGAGAAGACTATAGCCTGGATCAGGTGCACCTTAGTCTCCAGCCTGACATCATTGCTCTTCAGTACTCTTGAGAGGTCCCTCACAGCTGACTTTCCCAATGCAATTTGTCTCTTGATTTCCTGGCTGTTGAAACCAAGAGTGTTGACTGTGGAACCAAGTAAACTAAAATTGTTAACTATCTCAGTCTCTTCTCCATCCATACTGATGCTGCCAATTGGCCCAGTGGTGAGAATCTTTGTTTTCTTGATGTTGAGCTTCAGTCCATATTGAAGGCTGCAGTCCTTGACCTTCTGCAGCAAGTGCTTTAGGTCCTCCTCAGTTTCAGCAAGCAGGGTTGTGTCATCTGCATAACACAGGGTGTTGATGACTCTTCCACTAATCCTGATGCCACATTCCTCCTCGTACAGCCCAGCATCTCAGATGATCTGTTCTGCATACAGATTGAAAAGGTATGGAGACAGAATACATCCCTGACAGTCCCCCTTCTTGATTTTGAACCATGTAGTGTCTCCTTGCTCTGTTCTGACGACTGCCTCTTGGTCCAAGTATAGGTTTTGCATTAGCATAATCAAATGTTCTGGTATTCTCATTCTTCTCAGAGTCAGCCACAGCTTGTTGTGATAAACACAGTCAAAAGCCTCTGCATAGTCAGTGAAGCACAGATAGACATTCTTCTGGTATTCTCTGCTTTCTGCCAAGATCCATCTAACATTAGCTATAATATCCCTAGTACCACAATCTCTTCTAAATCCAGCCTGCACATCTGGCAGTTCTCTGTTGACATATTATTCCAAACGTTTTTGGATCATTTTCAGCAGAATCTTGCTTGCATGTGATATTGATAGTATTGTTTGATAATTTCCACACTCTGTTAGGTCACCTTTCTTTGGAATGGGAGCAAATATCAATCTTTTCCAGTCAGTTGGCCAGCTAATTGCCTGTATAGGAAGTAATTTTTACAGAATAGCATCTCCATATGATTTTCCTTTGTGTAGCAGTACAGTTTCCTTGACCCTATACAAATCTTGTTCTCTTCCACCTCTGTTGGGGAATTTTGGGGAGGAAGAAAGGGCCTCTGGCCAGAACAGATCTCCTGAGCTCCAGATAAGTGCAAGCCTCTCAATGGCCTTTAATACGGGGTAGAGAAAGCTCTCCTGTATTTGGCTGTACTGGCTTGAGAAAGCTCGCCACCTGGAAAGATGGCTGCTGCATCTGTTGAGCTGGGAGTAGTCCACAGAAGGCTGAGGTTCTCCTATCCAGTCCACACATCCCATGTCTGCAAACCCCCCCTATCCTGTCTTCCTGTTTACTTTTTTGTGTATAAGTGCACTGCAGCCTCCAATAAAACTGAGCTGAATCGACTCTCTGATCCTCTCCCGGAGTGGTGTGTGTCCATCATGCTTACCCCCATCAGCGTGTTGTTCTTTGTTGCTGGCGAATGGAAAGTGGCATACCTCAATGTGGAAAGTCTTGAAAATATTTATGAAATACACTAGCAGTAACAAAAAGCTAGAACCATTGTATTTCTTTCTGGGAAAGGCTAGACTGCTTTGTTGCTACAACTAAATTATTTCTTTCTTTTTTCATCCATTCCATTTCCTGGCTTAAATAAAAGAAAGTGTCTTCATTTTGCCTAAATACAATTATTATTTAGAACCTAGATTCTAAGTAATCAGATTGAGGTTTTTCGTCTTGAATAGTACTATAAATTTCATTTTGCAGTATACTCTATAGTTATGCTCATAGGCAACCAAGTATACAGAATTGTTATTTTTCTGGTTGTAAATATTAATTCAGTAAAAAGCCTCTTTGTTTCAGGATGGAATTGTTGATCCTGAGGACAGTACTTTACGAGATTTTTGTGGCCGCTGTATAAGAGAATTCCTAAAATGGTCCATTAAACAGACAACACCACAACAACAGGAAAAAAGTCCACTAAACACCAAGTCCCTTTTTAAGCGACTGTACCACTTTGCACTGCACCCAAGTGCTTTCAAAAGGCTGGGAGCTGCACTTGCTTTTAATAACATCTACAGGGAATTCAGGTGAGAAGCACACAGCTGGGAGGAGGGAGAGGGTGAGAAAAGAACGGTTTTGAAAGGCACTGTGTGTTTGACGCTGTACTTTCATTTATTCTTGTATCAGCATCAGTACATAATTGTGTATGGTTTGTTGTGCTGTGTTCCGAGAATTAAAAAGAATTAAAGCAATTAGTGCTGTGCTCAAGTTTAGTGACTACAGGGAGGAGTGAGTGTTAAGTGGGTGTGTGCATGCATAGGGAGCTCTGGTGGCCTAGTGAGTAAGGAGTTGTGCTGTCACCCCAAAGGTGAGTTTGAATCTACCAGCTGATCTGAGAGAGAATGATATACCTTCTCCTATGTAATTTTCAGTCTCTGAAAACCTGAAGGAGGGTCAGCTATAC